GCCTGGTGAAACTGAATCGATTAGAGTGCGTACCAGCTCTGTAGCTCAATAGAGAAAACCGACATCACAGGTCAAGATGACTCGAATAGCACAAATAATTTGACCGACCTAGCTCGAGTAGCAGACCGAGTTCAGGCCTCTGGATGCAACAGACGAACGCGCCTGATGATTTTTAATCGGTTTTTTTGTAAGTATGAGCTCTGTAACTCTCCGCAATCTCGAGTTAAGTACAGAAAACCGTGACCGCGTGTCAAGATGACTCGGAACGCAGTTGGTTCCGGCAAGTCTTTTGATAGTGATATTGCAGCTACGGACCTCAGAATTTAACTGGCAGGCGCGGTATAACCCACTACACGTGAGAAAAGTACCTGTTCTCAGAATGAATTGTCAAACTGGGATTTGGCGGTGAACCTTCAACCAGGTAACCACCGGGAGCTCGTACTGCAAAACTATTTGTATGCGACTGATTTTTTAGTTTGGCTCTCGCTCAAGCTTGCTTCACGTCTTCAGAGGAGCTGGGCAAGAAAAGAGCTCTGCGAGGTCCCCGGCGGTAGCCAGGTTGACGGTTTACCGCCTGCCCAGTATCTTTCAAATCTTCGCTAAACCGGCCCAACTGGGCGCCGACGGTAAACCGTCAACTTTTCTTAGCCAGGGGACTCGTAGAGCTTCCTGACCATATATATTATGTCCAAAGAATTAGCAGAGAACGAATTTTTTCAGCCCGAGCGCTGATAGCTGACTGATGACTGATGTCAGGCGTGTGATATCCCGTTGCTGTGGAGAGAATAACAGAGTACGAATCCGTATTTGGCGTCTGCGCTCACAACAGGCCCAAACCAAGCGTCTGGATGCTTCGCCCCTCATGATGTCCTTCTGATGTTTCGGCCGAAGAGCTCTCGAGCTGCTTTGCAGCTCGAGTTCAGTGAAGAAATTCACCATCATTTGAAAAAACTGTCGGTCGAATAGACAACGTCTGTCAAGATGACTCGAATAATACGAATAGTTTTGCGGACCTAGCCCGAATAGCAGACCCAGTTCAGACCTCTGGATGCAACAGACGAACGGGCCTGATGATTCCGAATCAGTTCCTGTGCGTATGAGCTCTGTAGCTCTCCCACAGCCCGAGTTACGTGCGAAAACGGACAGCACCTCTCAAGATCACTCGAACGATACGAATAATTTTGCGGACCTAGCTCGAATAGCAGACGAGTTCAGACCTCTGGATGCAACAGACGAACGCGTTTGATTCTTCTGCATCGGTTTCCGTGCGTATCAGCTCTGTAGCTCCCTTAGAGCTCGAGTTAAGTACAGCAAACCGACAGTCCCTGTTGAGATGACTCGAGCGATACGAATAGTTTTGCAGACCTAGCTCGAGTAGCAAACCGAGTTCAGACCTCTGCATGCGACAGGCGGACGCGCCTGATGTCTCCGAATCGGTTTCTGTGATTGCCAGCCCTGTAGCCCCCCTACAGCCCGAGTTAAGTGCAGAAAACCGACAGCACCTCTCAAGATGACCCGAGCAATACGAATAGTTTCGCAGATCTAGCTCGGGCAGCAGACCGAGTTCAGACCTCTGGATGCGACAGGCGAACGCGCCTGATGATTGTGAATCGGTTTCTGTAAGTATGAGCTCTGTAGCTGCCTCTACTAGAGCTCGAGTTAAGTACATAAAACCGACAGTCCCTGTCGAGATGACTCGAGCAATACGAACAGTTTTGCGGAACTAGCTCGAGTATGAGACCGATTTCAGACTTCTGCATGCGACGAGCGGACGCGTCTGATGTCTCCCAATCGGTTTCTGTAACTAACAGCCCTGTAGCCCCCATACAGCCCGAGTTAAGTACAGAAAACCGACAGCACCTCTCAAGATTACTCGAACAATACGAATAGTTTCGCGGACCTCAAGCACCAGACCGAGTTCAGGCCTCTGAATGCAACAGATGAACGCGCCTGGTGATTCTGAATCCGTTCCTGTAAGTATCAGCTCAACGCGTATCAAGATGACTCGAAACAACGAATCCCGCCTGTGCGCTTTTTGGCAGTGAAAGGTACCCGATCGATGAGATGTGGCTGAGGCCGCGTGGCTCCTTGAAGGAGCGACAATCACATAATGTGACCTTAGTGCCGCCGAGGCGCTTCTTTGCGCTGCTCGCTCGTTGCTTCGGGACTTGCGAGACTCGTCTCCTCCAGCTGTCTCGCAGCTGGTGCACAGGGGCCCAAACAAACAAACCGAGGTTCATGGTTTACCGCCGGCTCCCAGTCATTCTTGGCGTTTGTGTGCAAAATTATAAGATATTCGTTAATTCGTTTTGAAATCAAGCATTTTTTTATAGAGCTTTGGATCATGTTGCCTCTGCTGTTGAAAGTCCCAAGGTTGTAAACGCAATACTTCTATCCGTTCACTTACAGAGACCGATCTGAGAAATAGTAGAATTTTCAGAAAGTAGAGGTTCTGTGGAAGTTATCAGAGATTGGGTAAGTCTGTTCTGGAATGGAGTTCCTCTGCCCCTGGCGCAGTTTCTGCCGCGTTCGCTTGCACAGTATTAGGTTGCTAGCTGCAGTATGGAGGAAGCGTTTCTGTGCAACTGATTTTCCTTCGAAGCCCCCAGTGACGATGCGCACGTGTGTGTACTTTTTGTGTGCGTGCATGCACTGCGAAAAGGTGCCGCGTTTCCCGGAGGGGGGTAGACCTTCGTAATCGTGTAGGAAGAAAAAATTCTATGTGGGACTCACAGTTTTCTGCCCCGCTGCCCGCGCCGGCCAGCTAGCTTGGCGCGGCCGACGCGGCCGCGGTGGCGCTGGCCCCTGGGCACTTCCCAGCGGGCACCTCAGTTGCGAGTCCCCTGGGCGGGCGCTGTCGTATAGCGAATGATCGTAGCGACGCTGATGACGATCGCGACAGAGGCGACGGGTCGGTCAGTTACGGCGTCGATGCTGGCGTCGATGCTGATCTCGCACGACAACGACGGGGCTCTCGCGACGGTGATGAATGCTTTGGAAGGAGTTGGACATGCGCGCGCAGTCGACGCGCAAGTGTTGCCATATTAGGTTTCAAGTTATGGTCCACATGCAATAGCCCGGCCTCGAGTTTTCTTCGAACAGTCATGTCGCGAACTAAGGTTTATTTCTTTACGCGACGCTTTCGAACTACTGACGTCATTTACGATATCGAATGTTTCCAGCGTGCGCGCGCGACCACGCTTGCGTGTGCACTGCGGCCCCTTGTGTTGACTAGTTATTTTTCTAATACATACATATCTAAGACTTTGAACATTGAAAGCTTGTGAAGCAAGCTTGCGCGCATAGATGTTTTGCAGGGGATGAGGGGGGGTTGCCCGTGCTGGCCTGCCTGGGGTGGTATGATATCATGGTCAGTGTGGGCGATCTGGCGGAGTCGTATGTAAAATGCAATTCGCGCAGGGGGGTCGTTATCTGTGGGTGGTTGTGTGTGTGTGTGTGTGCGTGTGTGTGTGTGGGGGGGTAGGCCTTAATAATCTTTCAGAACGGAGAATGAATTTCTGCTCGCTGTGAGCCGTGAGCTCCATTGCCCGCTCAATCCTCCCGCCCGCCCATCCGCAATTTTTCTGCGTGAGCCCATGCGGCGGCGATTTCGATGAGTGCTTGGTGTTGGCTGGTGCATCTTTGCGCGGCCGCGCTAGCCCGCGCGTTTTCGCGCGCGCAGCGGCCAGATAGTTTGGCCCGACCGACGCGGCCGCGGTGGTGCTGACCGCTGGGCACACCCCAGCGGGCTCTTCAGGGTGAGTGAGCGAGTTGGGCGGGGCGCGGTATCTTGGCAACATCGACGACAGTGCGCGCGAGGATGACGGTAGCGATGCTGGTGACGATGGGGACAACGACGACGGCAAGGCCAGTGACGGCGCCGATGCTGATCACGCCGACGACGATGACCGCGTCCGCAAGCCGGTATGCGCACGCGGCCGACCCGTGGGATTGGCCCGCATGGAGTTATTTGACATGCATCGTGCCCACCCAGCACGCGCGCATGGGCGTTCGAGTGAGTTCGGCATGCGGGGCGAAGGTCGCGCTTGGCCGCATTGAGTGAGCATGGCGAGAGCTTGTTGGATGCTTAGGAATCCGCAAGACCGGCAGTGCAGGCTCTTCTGAAAACTGGCATTGCAAAGCCCAGTGGTTTTTATTTGCGTTCGGGACGTTCGATGTACACATTAACGAACGCGAGGGTTTTTTTGGAAGATTTCGGCGTGCGTGCGTGCACTTCCTTTCATTTTCCGCAGTGTTTCTCTAGGAACACTGATGGGTTATGATAAGCGTGTGCGCGCGCCTACTTGTTTTGCAGGGGATGAAGGGGGAGGACTGGAGACAGGGCCTGCATGGGGAGTCTGAGTTTACAGTCCGGGTGGACAGTGATGCATACTCACATTTGGTTGACAATGCGAGAAAAGGGGGCCGTTAATTCCGGGTGGGGGATATCGGAAGGTTCTTGTGGAAAAAAGGGATAACCTATGTGGAGGAGCCTATCTGGCGGCGGCGAGGCGGCGACGGCGGCCACATAACCGCCAGACCGAAGACACTGCCCAGACGACGTGTGGCGATGAGGGGGCGACGAAGTGGCGACGGTGGCCTCGTAGCTTCCACACCGAAGCCACGGCCCAGACGAGTGGCGGCGACGAGGCGGCGACGGGGCGGCGACGGCGGCCACAAGCGCCAGACCGAAAGCACGACCTCATTTGCAAAGCAGGCTTAAGAACCATCAGTTGGACGCGCGGTCCGGGGACAAAACAGAGAAAATCTGGGTACTCCAGATTTCGTAATAAAGGGAGGGGGGTCTCATTTCGGGGGGGGGTCTCTTCCAGGCTATCTTGGAGGGCCTGGGGGGGTCTGGGGACGATGTTTTGGAGGGGTCTCCCACGGGGGAGGTCTGAAATGGCTTGTCTTGGAGGGTCCAGACCCCCTCCCTTCTATTACGAAATCTGGGTAGACCTCCGAAAATGCATGTTCATGTCTATTTTTGTTGTGCCCAGGTCGCCATCCGCGGGGCCGCGCTCGCCGCCGCCCTGGGGCGTTCGAGTCGGGCCGCGCGTCGCGGAGCGCACCTGCCGTGCGCGCAGCCGGCCTGCGCCCGCGCGCCGAGGCAGCGCCTCCGCCGGGGGGGGGCTCCCCTCCTTCGCCCCTCGGCGAGGGAGGGCCAGGGGCAGTTGCTCCCCCTCCTGCACCGCCCGTTTCGTAGTTTTCCTTCTGTTTCCCCCTCCTCCCCCTCCTCCTCCTCCTCCTCCTCCTCCTCCTCATCATCATCATCATCATCATCCTCCTCCACCTCCTCCTCCTCTTCCTCATTCCCTTGTCCTCCTGCTCCTCTCAGTCGCTGTCCTCTTCTTCCTCCTCCTCCTCCTTTCCTTTTCTCTCCTCTCCTCTCCTCCCCTTTCCTCCTAGTCTCCTTTCCTCTCCTCTCCTCTCCTCGCCTCGCCTCGCGTCGCCTCGCTTCGCCTCGCCTCTCCCCTCTTGTTCCTCCTCCGACTCCCCCAACTCCTCCGAAGCAAACGTCTGCT